TTAAAGGGCTCTATCCATTCAGGTGGAGGGAGATAGTTGCTGTCTGTGAATACCCACCTAGAATTTGAAGTGAAAGTCAGCGTAGGTCCCTTTTTTGGATGTTTTGATGAAGACCCGCCATTGTTGTAGGGTAGGAGAGTTGCAAAGGAGTGAAGGGTTGTTGCGGGGAGAAGGGAAGGAGGAGACCTCAAGAGGGCTAGTCTTCTCATCAGGGTTTTTGGGTGTTGAGTGTACACTCTGAGTGACAGAAATGGCAGAGGCGTTGAAGACAGAAAAACATTTCCAAATTACATTTTGGGTGACAACACTGCACCATAGGTCCCATGGTCTAGTGGTGAGGACATTGGACTCTGAATCCAGTAACCCGAGTTCAAATCTCGGTGGGACCTCGATTTTTCTAACTATAATTTTCACAGATTTCTTTGATTGTGGAGGCACATTTAATAACCTACCAGCTCCATTAATCTCTATACCTGAATTTTGTTATTTAGATTTATATTTTTTATTTTATTATTTGTATTATGAAATATTGTTGAAATTTAGTTTATGAACTCGATTTTTTGGAGATCAGTCTGCTGTAGAAAACACTTAGACAATCGATCTCTTTTTTCTTAATTTTTTTCTAGTGAAGTCTAGTCTTTATATTTATTTTAATGAACATGGAATATTTTAATTTTTTTTACACTTATTTTGTTTTTCATATCCTAATCTTAAAAAATTAATAGATCTTCAATAGAGATGAGTATGAAAATCTAAAGATTATCATGAAGCTACACGAGAGAAGAAAGTGATCGATGTAACCTCCGATTAAGGACATCTCAATTTCCATTGCTACGTAACAAAGACATGGATGGAACTGGATCCCTGACCAGTGGGTGAAATTAATTTTTTTTTTTAATATAAAAGGATATATTTAGGCATAGTTAATTTTTTTTCAATAAAAAATAAATAAACAATGCTGGAGCTTATTTGATATAATTTGATCAATTTAATAAGTTCAAAAATAACTTAAATAATCGATAAAAATTATTTAAAAAAAAACCAAAAAAAAATAGCTTAGATTAACCTATCAAACTCATAACCTAAATCATAAGACTAGAATAATATAATAAAAAATAAATAAATAAATAACTTGAGTCAGCTTAGGTTGATCTACCAAACTCACAACTTGGATCATGAGACTCGAATAACTTTAAAAAAATTAAATTGAACAAATTATAATGTTTAATTATTAATAAACTCATTGTTGAATGATCAAATTGAAAAAAATCGATATAAAAAAGTACATAATAAAACAATATGAATCCACCCGAGTTAATTTGTACAACTCATGACTCGGGTCATGATATCAAGATAACCTTATAGAAAATAAACTGAAATAAATGAAAAAGTCTAATTCTTAATCAACCTAATGTTAAAAATGTTAAAAAATAAAACTAAAAAAAATATCAACTAGAAAAAGAGACTAGAAAATCAAGTCAACTAGGTTAATCCGTCAAAATTGTGATAAATTGTATAATAAAGTTCAATTTCTAATAAACCATATATTGAATAATAAGTTAGAGAAAAAATATAGATTAAAAAAAAAAGCAAATATAAAAATACTATTACCATGAATAATATTTTTGTAAAGTGATAAACATTAAAAACACAATTTTTTTTTTTAATTTCTTTTTAATAATAACAAATATTATCTTCTTACCACTACCTTGGCCCAAATATAAAAAAAAAAAAATTACTTTTAAGCAAGGGGATGTTAACATCCTTTTCCCTTTAGGAAAATTCCATCTGGATTGCCTAAACCTACTATATAAATTAGATTGTGTTTATAATATTAGAGATGGCATGCTTGCATATTATTACGACTTTATAAAATAAATATGTTTGATATTGTTATAATTATGAAGTAATATTAGATAAATAATAAAAACTAAATGTATAATAGAGTTAATATTTCATGATAGAAAAAAAAATGTGTTGTTAATAAAAAACTTAGAGACTAAACAAAATAATTTGTAGTAATCCAAAGTGTTTTGTGAGAAAAGATACAGTGTTTTTGCCACATGATTTAACTTTTTTGTTAATAAAAAGCAAAACAAAATACAAAACTAAATTCTCTACCAATTTAATGTTAAGAAAAAACCAATAAATATAATTTTGGAAGGAAAAAAAACCCAGAAGGAAAAACATTATAGTAATTGACAATGTTTTGTAAAGAAAACTACAGTGCTTTCTCCAATAAAATCGACAAATATAATTTTAGAAAAAATCATAAAAAAACCATTTAGACAAATACTGTATCAATCCATAGTATTTTATGAGAAAAGCTACAACGCTTTTCCCATATGATTTAACTTTATTGTAATTATAATTTTTAACCAACTCAATAAAAAAAAAAATCGACAAAGATAATTTTGATAAAAAGTCATATAGGAAAATACTGCAACAATTCATAGTGTTGTAAAGAAAAAAATTACAAAGTTAAATTTTTAACAAGCTCAATATTAAAAAAATTAAATCGACAAATATAATTTTAGAAAAAATAACAAAAAAATACAAAAAAAAACATGAGAAAAACTATGTTGGAAACATTGTAACAATTCAAAGTGTTTTGTGATGAAAGTTATAGTGCTTCTCCACATAATTTAATCTTATTTGTATAATAATTCTCAAACAACTCAATATTAAAAAAATAAAATTGACAAAGATAATTTTAAAAAAATCATAAGAAAAAAACCACAGAGAGACAATCTAACAATCCACGATATTTTGTGAGGAAAGCTACAATGCTTTCCTCACATGATTAAGCTTTATTATAAAATTAAATTCTAATCATCTTAATATTAAAAAAATAAAATTGATAAATATAATTTTAAAAAATATTACAAAAAAAAAGAAAATACAAAGAAATTGGGAAAAAACCATATGGGAAAAAATATTATGGCAATTCACAGTAATTGGTGAGGAAAGTTACAATGTTTTTCTTATATATTATAATTGTAATTTTTAACCATCTCATTATTAAAAAATAAAATAAAAAAGATAATTTCAGAGAAAATCATAAAAAAAAATATGCGGAGAAACATTGTAGCAATTAACAATGTTTTAAAAAAATTACAAAACTAAATTCTCAATCAACTTAATATTAAAAAAATAAAATCAATAAAAATAATTTTGAAAAAAAATAGAAAAATCATGTGAAAAAATACCATAATAATCCACAGTATTTTAAAAGAAAAAAATTATAAAGTAAAATTTTTAACTATTTCAATATTAAAAAAGTGAAATCGACAAAGATAATTTAAAAAATAAATAAAAAAGAGAAAAAGTTGGAAAAAAGAAAAGTAATTTCAAAAAAATAAAAAAAACAAAAAAACAGGGAAGTTGGAAAAAAAAAGAAAAAAAAAGAAATGCATTATGGATTACTATTGTAATTCATAATGCATTCAGTATAAATGAATAATAAATCACCCATGCCTTTTAATTTATTACTTAATAATTGATAAAGTATATAAAATAATTAAGAATTACAATTATCTTGGAAAATATTACTTATATACAAAAAAACAAACTCGAGAACATTATGTAGCTTCATTGTTATATTCTCTCTCTTTCTTTCTTTTTTAATTCATCCCCTGGTTTATTTTCTCTATTCTCTTTTTTTTTTTTCAAACTTTTTTTTAACAATTATTTACATTGTTCTTAAACCAACTAAATTGACTGGATTATATTAGAACAACTTCTATATAATTTAATTTTAAACTCAAGCTAAGATATATATATAGAGTTTTTTTCTTTCAATTTTATCATTTTTTTAATTTTATATTCAAATATTTTTACTAATTAATCAAGTTATTTTTAAATCGATCAAGTTATGTGAGGGCAACTCCAATATGTTTTGATTTCAAACTCGGACTAAGTAAGAAGTGGAGTTTCTTTTTTATGTTTATTTCAATTTTTTTTTCTCAATTTTATCCTCTTACTTGTTTTACTAGTTGATCGGAATATCTTTTAATCGGTCAAGTTTGATTTCAAACTCGGACTAAGTAAGAAGTTGAGTTTCTGTTTTATGTTTATTTCAATTTTTTTCTCAATTTTATCCTCTTGCTTGTTTTACTAGTTGATCAGAATATCTTTTAATCAATCAAGCCAACTGAATTATATCACAGTAACTGTTATGTGATTTAATTTTAAATTTGAGTTGAATAAAAAGTTAGATCAAGAAATTTTAAACTTGTTGAGCGGAGTTTAATAAAAATATTTGCAACTTATATATTTTTTGTTAGTTTGTTTTTTAAAAATATTATTTTGAATCATGTCATAGCTCAAACCCACAAACTAATATAGTTGCAAAAGTGGTTAATCTTTGGTTAACATATTTATTATCAAAGTTATTAAAGCCAACCTGTTTTATTTAAGGCTTGAGCTACTAGTTAATAGATTGACTTAAATCAACCTAAAATATTATCATTTTAAGAATTTTTTTTTAAAAATGATATTATTTTTAAAAAGTAAAATAAAAAAGTTAAAACAGATTATGAATATGTCAAATAGATTATACATTAATATATTTTATTGATTAAATCGACTCCAATCTATTTTAATTTAAAATCTAATTTGGCTGAAAAGTGAGTCACCGAGACAACTTATATAAACATGTAGATTTTAATTACACACACTTACTTCTGCATAAGTTCTATCACAAGGAATTCCTTTATGATTGTTTCAAAATTAAAAATCAAGCCGATTTAAATGTCTAACTACAAGCCAATTAAGGAAGAAATGTCAATGAAAAAAAAAAAGGAAGAAATGTCAATGAATCTAGTTTTGAGTGACATTAACAAGGTGGTCATTGTTTGGGATTTGTTCTCTAAAATTTATCGTAAGTTTTCTCATAAGAGAAGGTGAAGATATGTGGCAAGAAAACCTCCACAGGAAAGAGGTCGGCAAAGTTTGAAATGCTGACTTACTGTACATGGAGATCGAACACATGATGTGGCTCCTTTATCTTACACATGCTCTTCTCTCTTTAAGGTCCAAATGTAAGATCTCCTACTCGACTTCTTTAACTAGAAGAATGTGCAGAATTAACTCCACTCATTTTTCCTTTTCCTCGAGAACTATGCATTTTAGCTTAAAAAAAAGAAAGATATAACCTTAAGACCAATCAAAGCTCCAATCAAAATTGTCTTCATTGCCATTCTTGCACTTTTGGTTTTGGCTCCCTTTCTGATCCATGGCCTCTCTTTACACGCTTCCTTCCCATCACAAATTCTCTTCGCTCGCCAAAACCCACAAACCCTATTCCTCTTCTCCTTCACTTCTCCTCTCCACAAAACCCTTCACCAAATCCAAACCATCAAAGAACACAATCCTCTCAACCAAAAAGACTAGAACTTTGATCACTGGATCGCTCACAGAAGACAAAGAAGTTGTTCCAGTCAAAGACAAACCTTTGAAAGGCAAAAGTAACCCTTTGCTTGTTAATGGGTCCAAAGATTCTGACCTTCTTTCATCATCTTCTTCTTCTACTGTTGAGAGTGATGATGAAGAAGAGAGAATGACAAGTAGAGCTATTAATGCTACCATTGTATTGGGGTTTGGTACTCTTGCTGTCTCTAGGTTGCTTACAATTGATCATGATTACTGGCATGTAAGTAATGCTTTTGTTACCTTAAGTTCATTTCTTTTTTCTTGTGGTTAGTAAATGAATCCAATTCTGTTTATGCTGATCATGAACATGGGTGAAAGTTGTGCTCTTTGTAGTTTGCTTCTGTTAATGATTAACAGGTGGGATTTTTGTTTTTAATTTTTGGTTTGTAATGTTAAGTTGTGATGTATTGTGCAAATTTGGATTGGTTCATTCTTGGTTTGCACAAGAACTTTTCTTTTTTCATTGATCTTACATGTGTGAAACTACTTGCTCAATTTTTGTAATTTGGCTCTTAGAAATCTGATATTAATCTTTGAGGTTTGATACCCTTTGATTGTCAGAATCATGTTTTGTGAGGTTAAGCATCACCTGAATTGGTTCACAAATTGTGGGATCGGCATTATTTGATGTTTTCCGTAATTTAAATAATAGAAGTTTTATCCAGTGATGAAAGAAGCTGAAAAGAAAGCTTAATATCAATTTCCTTGCTACCTTTTATCAGTAATGAACAGAATTATTGTTCTAGTTATTGCATTTCTATCCTTCAGGGAACTTTTCGTAATTTTTAATATCGTTCAGGGATGGACCCTTTATGAGATTCTAAGGTATTTGCCTGAGCACAATTGGATTGCATATGAACAAGCTCTCAAAGCGAACCCTGTTTTGGCCAAAATGGCAATTAGTGGGATTGTCTACTCTATAGGAGATTGGATTGCTCAAGTAAGTTTTCTGTTTCCCTTGTATGGGATTTTTCCCAGCTGGCTTAGCAGAGTTATTAACTTGTTTTTCACAATTCATGTGTTTATATTGTTCTGAAATGCAGTGTTATGAAGGAAAACCAATCTTCGAGTTCGACCGGACTCGCACATTTAGATCAGGGCTTGTTGGGTTTACTCTACATGGATCCCTCTCTCATTATTACTATCAATTCTGCGAGGTGATTATTGTTGTTTGGGTTTTGTTCATTTCACTTCGCTTGCTGTCATGTTGATGTCATTTGGATGGCTGAAATCGTTTACATTGGTTCTAGGCACTTTTTCCTTTTGAAGATTGGTGGGTGGTCCCAGCCAAAGTTGCCTTTGACCAAACAGTTTGGGCAGCAGTTTGGAACAGCATCTACTATGTGGCGATAGGTTTGTTGCGTTTTGAGTCCCCGGACAATATTTTTAGCGAGCTAAAGGCAACGTTTTGGCTAATGTTGACTGTAAGAAGCTCCTCAAATATTTCCATATGCAAGTTCAAAATGCTATAAAGAAATGCTCCTGATTGACACATTTTCCCCTTGATTTCAATTTGTCCATGATACTAACACTGTTGTCCGGGAAAAAGTCATTGATTTACCAACGTTGATTTTATACCAAACTTACTTATCAGCATTTTCATTGCATTTTGAAATCTGCTATTGGCTTTTAAATTCAGCTAAAATGTTTCTCTAGAAAACCCATATAAAGGATAGAATAGGTCTCTTCTAATTTAGACTGTAGGATTGAGGCTTCTACTGAACAAATGATCTTGGGATTGTGAAGGGACAAATTAATAGCCTGCCTGAGAATGTCCTCCATGTCAATTGAGAATATGAAAGAGAAAGTTTTTTGTGCTTGCATTGAGGCCCTTGGTTAGAAGATGACATAGAAGGGCTATCGACTGCCACTAGCATCCTACCTGTTGTAACCCTTAAAAGTTTGACAAAGGAATTTTCTTTGAAATCATTTTTATCGCAAGGAGAAAAAATCCTGAACAGCGCAATCTAATCTAAATTGCATTCATTTGTCTCCAGTGGTGCTAAAAGAAACTAGCATCTAAATTGCATTCATTTGTCTCCAGTGGTAATTTTTAGTGGTAATTGTATAAAGGCAAGAAAGAATATTACAATGGTAAAGGTCCATTTTCTTGCCTTTATGCACTGATGTAGTTGAATGATTTTCACCGAGGCAATTTTTAGAGTTTCATTTATGCTTTGAGGTCCATGTAAAATAACATTCAACTGATAGATAATTGTTCATTTATACATTGTGTCTTGGTGATAGTAAACTGTTTCTGCTGATCTGCTTGATAGGCAGGATGGAAGCTTTGGCCATTTGCTCATTTGATTACCTATGGTGTTATCCCTCTTGAACAAAGGCTTCTTTGGGTAGATTGTGTGGAGCTCATCTGGGTGACCATACTCTCAACGTAAGTATTCATGATCATTAACCAGCTGAAAATGAGAGTATCTAATGAGTAACACCATTCTCAACAATTAGACCTGCTAGAATGACTGGTCTCTTTATAGTTTGTTTAATTTGCAACTGAATCTTATGACTTGATATATAGGATTGAATTATAAAATTACTTTCTTTTTTTTTTGTTGCTTTGTTGTATTCATTCGACCTATCATTTTTGGTGGCTAATTGGTTGCGTAGTGTAATTAACATATGACAATTAAGGATTCCAAAGCACTTAGGACCCCAGGTGCAAACCATGGTGAACTCAAAAGGAGCATGTCTTCTATTCTTTACCGTTTGTGTAGCATTGCATCTTTCTTCAATTTCTGTTTATGGTGATAACGTGTAACTATTATCATAGTTTTGGTGGGTTTTTTTTCTTGGTGTTAAAATTGTGCTAAGCCTTTCTTTTATGTAAAATGTTTCGCTGATTTTCATTTTAACACTGTTTTTTTTTCTGTTTCAAGTTATTCGAATGAGAAATCAGAAGCTCGAATTTCTGACACAACCTTGGAGGCAAACTCAAGCTCTTCAGGCAGTGCTGATGAGGTACATCACAATTAAACTTCTCCTTTCAAATAATCCCGTTATGGATAAAACTATATTATTGGAAAGTCCATTGACTCTGAACTATGTAACCAAAAATCACTGCTCCTCTGGGCTTTGTGTCAAGTAATCGAGCCTATACTGTAGGTCAGAGGAACCACAATTTTGTACAGGTTCATGTTGTGATGCAGTTGATTTTTAGTTTCCTATTTGCTGATATCCTTTCCCTTTATCTCACCGTGCAGAAATAAATGATGTAGGTCATGCCATTAAAGAGGCTCTTTGGCTTTGTGTTTTTTACTACGTTTTTGTTTTAAAAATGTGTTTATATTTTAGAGGATTTGATATGCTAGTATAAAAAAATTAAAAAATAATAATTTTAATATAGTTTTAAATAAAAAATATTTTTTAAAAAAATATCCCTAACTAAGTGAGGAGCATGTGGAAGACATGACAGGCTGCCTGTGCTCGTATTCTGAAATTGGCAGGTATCCTCACCTTTTCGGCCAGTATGTTCCAAGGCTACAAATAAATACTTCCTCGTGAATTCAGTGGTCATAGCATGGGTAGCGTGTGAATGGTATTGTTGTAGTTTGTGATTGTGATTTAAAAAAATTTATAAATTATAGTATTTTTAATTAAAATGTTAGTAGAGTTTTTAATAGAATTTATATAAAATTTTGGTATGTATTGATTAATTAAATATTTTTAAATTCGTGATTGAGGTGCATTTAAAATGTAGATTGTCTATTACTATATAAAAATAAACAAAATTTTAAGCTTATTTGAGAGTATAATAAAAGTTGTTTTTTAAAATGCCTTTTTGTCTAGAAATATATTAAAATATTTTTTAAAATATTTTAAATTTATTTGTTTTTTGTTTTTTATTTGAATAAGATTATATCATTAAAAAAAATGAGGCTTTAAATTAGTAACACCAAGATAAATAAGATAATGGTAATGAATTATCTAATATATATATATATATATATATATATATTAACTGAGGCTTTAAATTAATAGAAATAATCAGGTAATACTCATGATTCTGATTCAAAATATGCTCCTATCCATTAATTAAACAAATGACCATCGTGGGTTAATCCTTTCCCTTTTCCAAGCAAAAATTAAGTGAGGAGCATGTGGAAGACATGACAGGCTGTCTATGAATTTGGCAGGTATCCTCACCTTTTCGGCCAGGATGTTCTAGGGCTACAAATAAATACTTCCACTTGCACTCAGTAGTCATAGCATGGGTAGCGTGTGAATGGTATTGTTGTAGTCTGTGATTGTGATTTAAAAAAAATATAAATTGTAGATTTTTTAATTAAAATGTTCGTCGAATTTTTATTATAATTTATATAAAATTTTGGTATGTATTGATTAATTAAATATTTTTAAATTCGTGATTGAGGTACATTTAAAATGTAGATTGTATTTTACTATATAAAAATAAACAATTTTAAGCATTTTCAGCTTGTTTGAGAATATAATAAAAACTGGTTTTTAAAGTATTTTTTTTGTTTAGAAATATGTTAAAATAAGTTTTTAAAAATATATTAAATTTATTTATTTTTTGTTTTTTATTTGAATAAGATATATATATAAATATATATATATATATATATATTAACTGAGGCTTTAAATTAATAGAAATCATCAGGTAATACTCCTCATGATTCTGATTCAAAATATGCTCCTATCCATTAATTAAACAAATGACCATCGTGGGTTAATCCTTTCCCTTTTTCTTTTTTCTTTCAGAAGGAAGAATGGGAGAAAAAAATATGATCACAATAGATAAAAAAAAAGAAAAAAAAAATGATCATTTTTCTTCTTGCTTTCCTATATCAACATTCATTGAAATATAAGACATCTCAGAAGTGTTTTATTTTAGCATTATAACAAATAGAATTATATTGGTAAAATTATAAAAAAAAATTGGGGAAATAATATGATTTAGCCTTAAGATTTATTCATGGCTTTCGAGAAATCATGTAAGGTGAAAATATCATGTATGGCTATGGAAATAGTGATGTCATTACCGATTATGATTACCAATCAATTGAGTACAATCAAAGTACAATCTAGGTGTTAAAGATTGCATGTTCTTTTGACGTGGATGCTTGAATTAGTTGCATTGTATGTGAGTTGGTAGCATAAGAGGGAAGGGGAAGCATAGAGAGTTTTTGGTCTCTGAATAGGAGTGGTTCTTGGGTATCGATGACTTCAAAGATTAGTTATTTCAAATGATAGTGATTTATGGTGAAGGTCAGAGACAACATTGAACATACAGTACAGTTCTTAAACAGGCAGCTCAAGTCGTAATGCTGTTTGGTTCTTGGATTATGTATCTTGAACTGAATCAAAACATGACACTAGATGAGATAATTCCCACATTTATAGTTACAAGATGGAGCGGAACTGATGTGTGGGACCTTTACGAGGAGGCGGATTCTAGGTTTATGGTTTTTCCTTTTATCTTTTTATGACAAACACATTTCATTTAGTTATTAAGGTTGTTCGTGATGAAGTCTTGTACACACCATATTCGGTGGATACACGCGCTAATTAGTTCCAACATACTGATTTTGGCAAAGTTTCTCTGAGAGTGATTAGCTATGATGCTTTAAAAGCAGCTCAAAATGTTTTATTGTCTTCATTTTTGGAGAAGACAAGTGCACTCTGTGACCAAGAAATTACTCTGTATTGCCTCTCGATCTGGAGAACTGAGAGCTATTTTACATTTTCCATTGATCTAATCCTTAGTCAATGATAAGATTATGCTAGAGGTTATACTCCAACAGAAAGATCTACATACTGTCCCTCTTGTGGGCTGCTCTCTGATAGATTTTTACTTAGTCAATGATAAGATTATGCTAGAGGTTTTACTCCAACATAAAGATCTACATACTGTCCCTCTTGTGTGCTGCTCTCCCACCTATGTTCTTTATTCTTACCTGGAAATATTATAATCGTCGCTGCAGATTATTCTTTGTGAAACATCCATCTCTCCATTCTGGACATTCCAAATCAAGAAAGCATCCGCAGGGGTTATCTCCTTTGGATAAGGTTTCTAGGTTTTCATATCTTCCTGATGGTACGAAAATATGTACTTCTGAAATGAGGAAAAAAAACCCCTTTTTATAGAACAGAGAATCAGAATGGTTGGTTATTGGCCATTTCCTGTCATGTTTTGAAAGGTAGAACCAAGCATTTTCTTATGAATGAAAAGTACTATTTGAGTTCTTATGTTATTATTTATCTTCCACGTGTTGCCGTTATTTACTAATGTGATTTGTTTTTGTTGATTGAACTTTTGGGTGGTTGTTGGAAGATTTTGTCTGGTTTTGCTCGTGATCAAAGACGGTTTTCCAGCAAGGTGTAAATGTGCTACTGTCTCTGCTTGCATTAAAGATAAGAGAGATGGGTAGCTCAAGGTTGGAAGAGACTGATTTAAATGTTGCTGATGGTGACTAGACACCACATTCATTAAGTTTGGTTTTGAAAAAAAACCTCAAAAAATGAAAAACAAAACCATACAGACGATTGGTAGCTATGGGTAATCCAAGTAGTCTTGATCAATAAAGGATGAACCAATGATGCTTCCCTCTCAAAGGCCATGGAAATTGGAAATTTCCCTCTAAAAATCGCTTGGTGGTTTCTTGTTTATTGATCAAGTTGAAACATGCAGAGTTAACCTTGTTTCCCTAACATTTGGGTCCTATTTTTCATTACCAAGCCTGGCGGCTATTAAATTGGTCTCTTCCGTCCCTCTAACTACATATTTGTCCTTGTGACCAGAAGAGAGATGCTATTAATGGTATGTCTGTCCATAACTATACCTGTTCATATGATTCTAGTAAATTTGATTTGGTTTTGTGATCGTGTCCATTAATAATTTTTACAAATGTGTTCCGCCTAAACGTTAGGAGGATGCAACAAACCAAGAGACGGAATAATTTCCTGAAAAAGATGGTGAATGGAGAAGTAATGAATGCATGGATAGTATCAGCTAAATAATGTGTCATGTTTGCAAGGGTTAGCATAACATAACAAAATTATCGTGGTTATGTTAAGGGGTGTCCCTTCAGCAGCAGCAGCAGCAGAAAAAGGAAGAGGAGATGAAGAAATTCTTTGTTGCATGGAGATTTGTTGGTGCGTTCACAAGAAATTCTATCGCAGCCACCCATTGATTCAAATTTCGAGATGATAAATCACTTACCATCCAAGTGAAACATCAAAATTGGAAGGTACTTGGAATCCATAGAGGGTCTTTCACTTGAAACATGTTTTGCATGAAATGACTGCTCTCAAAACTACAAGCTGCCCATTGAATTCACTGAGTCTTGATTTTGACCATCATAGAAAGCAAAGACCCCTTATAGACTATTTTGCCCCCAACCTCTTGGCATATGTGAAGATGATGTAGCTGTAACTGGTTGAAAGGGAGCAGGATTCAAACAGGAAGAAAATGTATCACAGATAAGCCAGGTGACGTGATTGCTTTTGCAACACACTACGCTTGCATTTCCTCTCTTCCTCGGAATCAATTCCATTATTTTCAGCAGCAAAGCAATCATGGTTGAACGTCAGGCAGGACTTCTATCGTAGCTCTAGGAGAAAAAGCTCATCTGGGATAAGAAACTTGCTGTCGACAAGAATTTGATATGGCAACCATGAAGACCTTATAAAGCACATTCAGAATCTAGACAGAAGATAAAGTGGTATTAACAGAGCTATGTTTAGTTCAATTCTCTGAATAAAGCTGTCTTTCTACATTTCTGTGAACATACAACAAAAGGGACCGCGGCGATAATTTACCTGGACAAAGTTTCAAAACATTGGCCACCAGAACAACAGAACTTTCTGGGTATAATGAGGCTCAAGAGCCAAAATATTACAATGATGGCAGCCCCATTTCATCTATGTAGATACCACAAAAATTATGGGCCTGGTCTTTCCTCAGAAAATCTTGGAAGTTGAACAAGTGAATTCACTCGAGTGACTCCTTCCAAACCTAACCAACTCTGATCCTCAGCATTATTCACTGCTCCGCCATCTCCATCAACTTCAACAGCTTGCCTTCCATAATTATCAATTTCTTCTGCAGATCTAACTGTAAAATTTCTTTGCAAACATGGCTCAGATTTCTGCCCATCATCTGATTCAGCAGCATTGCCAGAATGATTGCTCTGATCAAGAGTTGCTGAGGAAAAGCCTTGTTCATCATAATCCGATTCTGAGTCCATTTTCCCGTCCAGAAATAAGCAAACAACAGCACAGTCATCCATCTTTGAAGTTGGGTATTTGAGCTTCCATTCACGAGCAGCTGAGTCCACCAGAATTCTTGCAGCTGATGCCCGTGTTGGAGCTGAGGATACAATCTCAACCACCTCTTCGTTGCTCAAGACATCCCAAACCTGTGCAATTCAAACTTAACATTTAGCACAGAAGAAAGTAGTGCGTGAGTCAAAAAAAAAAAAAAACGAATATTGCCAAGCATTGTCTCGGAAAAAGAAAAAAAGAACATATCAAGGTTACAGTTCTGGTATTTCAAAATTGCTGAGGTGTAAATAGCTTTGATATTACATTACTGTTTAGCATTTCTGTATTCTTGATGAAATTGGATAGGTGAGCCTAAAAGATTTGGCAATCCAATCAAGATGATGCACATGCATCACAATCAGAAACTCAATATATCAAAAAATAACATATGGAAAAGCTTGCACAAGACAGGATTACATGGAAGTCAGAATAGATTGGGAACATCAGGAACTCATTTTGACTCAAAAGCTCAATCATAGAACAATGCAACACTATTCAAAGCAAAACATGACTGGCCATTGTAAGTTTGTAACATAGCTGTCATGGAATGGCATCTGACAGCTGGGTCAATCTATTTGCTGCTTAGGTTTGAAGAACCCTCAATTCAATCTATAGGCATACAAAATCCACAGTGTCAGATGGCCCATTATGATCCACCCCGTTGAGTTCTCTTTTTTCCCTTGTATGCCTTTCAAAAAAAAGTGTTATTGCCTGATTGGTATTTATATACACTTGACACTCCTCTACAAGCTTTCCTCTCCACCATATATCCAGATGGTAACCAGAGTCATTAAACATTCAGTCAGTAATATATAGGACCTTAGAAATATCAAATTGAAAAGTCTCAACAGCTGAGTATCTCAAAATAAAATAAATCCAGATTCAATAAAATGAACCACAAATATATCAGAGGAGAAAACTTACCCCATCTGAGGCAAGAACGATGAATTGATCCCTCTCTGTAAGGGTCCGATGTGAAAACTCAGGTATGGAGATCACTCCATATTCCTTCAAACAGAAGTCACCAAAAGCCCGAGCCATTGCCAAGCCAGGGGCATCATCAAATGGTAACCAAACTCTTGGCACTTCAGGCTCATCTTGCAATGCAAACACCCTACCTTTACACCGCTTAATTCTTTCAGCTTCCCCTGCAACAATTTCGTTTCATGTCAACTCCTGGATTTGGAAAGATGGGTATACCACCAAAATACATAGCTAAGTGTAATGCCTATGACCTACTTGGCAAATCAGGCTTCAGATCAACAGTCAACTGGACTGCCACCATGGAATCATTGCTGTCCTTAGATCCCATGATTGCACGGGAATCCCCAATATATCCCATGAATAGATTGGAGCCCTTTAAAATCACAAATAAATGTATACAATAAGGCTAAAGCTAAACAAGTGGAACATGAAGAGTGATCTATACTTCCTACAAGCTAAATGAATGGAATATCACCACTGAGTTGTCTACCCTACAATACCTGTTTCACAATAGTGATAGCTGTGCTCCCACTGCAGAAGCAGTCCAAATTCGGATGGGATTTCAGCTCTTTATCCATGGCCTTATATGACTTCAGGAATGCTTCTCTCCATAAAGAATTCAATTTATCCTCGACAGAGCCATCCTTGTCCAAATCCCCAACATCTGATTTCATCAAATTCCCCTTGAAACAAGCTTGATCTGACCCATTTTGCCTTGACTGACAAGAGTTCAAAAATGATTGCAATTTTACAGGCAGGGCATCCCTGACCTTGCGGGCAACTAGATGGCCATGAGGACCATGACCATCAAAAACACCACAGAAGGTCGCATCCTCTGACATGAAATCCTACATAGATCCAAAGTGAGACTAAGCATTTAACTCCAAATGTTATTAAAAGCTAATCTCGATGGAAAATGAAACTTACTTCCCACACAATCATTGCATCCTGGTTTATGCCCTTGCGACCCTGCTGTGTGAATATACAAGAAGTTCGGCTCTTTCCATTGGTGAAAACCCTGTTAGGTATGGATGGTAAATGTTGTAGTGTGACCACATGATCAGAGAATGTTCTTTTAGTTCTCTTTTGCCGGCAAAAACCAATCCCCAAGCAAGGCAGAGGAAATGGTTCTCCATTGCTCTTACTGCTGCAAGCATTCCGACTAGTTGAAACACAAGCTCCCATTTGCTCAATCCCAGAACAAAGACATCTATGGTTTAATTAATAGAAAAGTTTCCTCTTATTTCCAGAACAGATCTAGCGTTAAATTCCGAATTTTGCTAGCTAGTCAACCAAGAAAAAGACTATCTAAAACATCAAAGATTCCCACACTAGTCACTGTACACCCCAACGTAGAAAACCATGACCTTTTTAATCTTGGTCAAATATAATCCACAAGTGATTGCGCAAATCAACGATTAAACGGGCTGAACACAAACAAAAGGACAGCAGTTAATGATTGTTAATTAAATACCTTGCTAGAAACCAGAGATGACTGCAAGTAACTAAACTCTCTACAAATCAAACAAAACCAAATTTAATAATCTTCCATGTGACCTTGGAATAGGATATTCTTAAAAGGCTGTCCTAATATATTTTCCTTCATAAGGTTTCACATTATTGTCACACTACTTGGAGAGTTAAAATCATGTTACTTAAGAATCCACAAAAAATAACTAAGAAACTGAAGCCAACAAAGAGAGAAGCATAAAATTCAAGAACAAATCAGAAAACAAGAAACCTGTTTGTCCTGCCAAGTAAAATGCATCAAAATACACTACAATCATAAGAATACTGTTTGTCCTGCCAAGTAAAATGCATCAAATACACTACAATCATAAGAATAATATGAACGTATTTTCATGATTCTTCAATTCTTACCTTTTATGCTTGAGTAGAGAACCAAGGAAAAGATCAAAACAAAGAGTTGAAAAGTAGCATACTATTTGGCACAACCTCAATTAAAACCCTCAGATTTCTGGTGGGTTGTCCATAAAAGACATAAAGATAGAACAAAGTATGCATTTTGCAATTAGTTTCCACTTAAAAAAAAGAAACCCATCAAAGCAACTTCAAAATTAAGACGGGACCGTTATTTCAAAGTAAAGAGAGAGGGAGGGGGGAGGGGAAACGTAGAACTTTGAATTCCCACTAGAGAGAAAACCAAGAAGAGATAAAGCAGAAACAGAAAAGTAAAAAAAGGACGAAACAAAGGTATGATTTTGTCAAAACAGAATCAAAAGATGGCCTTAAAAAGAGAGTATAACAAATATATCAACTATTACATAATTATCATTAACAAAGCGAGAGAACCACACACAAAAAATAATTATCATTAACAAAGCGAGAGAACCACAAATAAAAAAAGGAGCAAAACAACACACTTCAAAACAAAAATTTACCAGGACTGGAAACTTGTTTGGCCTACCAACTCAACCCAGCTCAAACTCTGCTTAACTTGTATGGCCAACTGCCAACTCGACCCAACTCAAACTCTGTTTCCCTCTTGGGCCACTCAAAAAATGCTAAAAACAAAGAATATAAATTCAAAATTTCCCATTTATCAAGAACCCCATTTTGTATACCATAGCAGAGAACAGAAAGTCTCAATTTTTAAAAGCAAAAATACTCCATCATCCATTAAGCATGCATCTTTCTTTTATCCTTTGGTTTCCCCAGTTGCCTCTGTAAACAATTAGAGTTAGCTAATGAACACTTTAAGTTAAAGTTGTCAGATCTTTAAGCCTTCTTGCATTAAGTGTTGACATTATCTTAAACAAACAAAGACAACAAAGAAGACATATTTATCATTTAATCATTGAAACACAAGCAAAGTTCATGAAACGGGACATCAAAACTGGAACAAAGACAGCACCTTTGATATTTTGTCGAGAAGTGAAACAAAACAAGTTCAGAGTTTAAGATAAGAAGACCTGAGCAAAACCCATAGAGAAACAAAATATGTTGAAATAAAAAACATGAGAGAGAGAGAGAGAGAGAGAGAGAGAGGGGTGAACTTGTTTGTGCGTGGATGCATTAATTGTAAAAGCAAGCAAAGCAGGCGAGAGGGAGGGACGTTGGCCGGCAGTAACTGATGTGTTAAGGGTGTGGTGGGCTCAGAGCCTAAATGATGATTTTTCCTTTTAGATAATTTTGTTGTTAAGGAAAATAACACTCGCATTTGTTAAGCGCGTTGGTTACTGATGCATTAATTGATGTCAAATGTTGATGGCAAAAATGGAGGTTTCCATGAAAGGCAGGATGAAGCTGAGAGTTAAGACATCTAATATTTGCTTTTAAATTCGCATTTCAAATGATCTAGATGAAAAAAAAAATTAAAAAAATTATTTTTTATATATTTTTACATCATTATAATATATTTATAGAAAAAATAATTTTAAAAAATAAAAATATATATCATTTTAATACATTTTAAAATAAATAATATTTTGAAAAATAACTCCTACTACACTCTTAAATAACTTTTAAGAATTGATTTTTTTGAGGGAATTTTAATGGTATTTTAGTTATAATTTAAATTTTGTTGATTTTTATGGTGTTCAACCAAAAATATTAAAGCTACGTTTTTATTTTTTGAGTTTTTAAATTATAATAATTTAATATAAAATCTAACCAAAATTGTTCATGTCACGCTAATATTACTTGCTTGATATATAAAAAATAAACATGGTGAGAGAGAAATGACATGATAACAAATTAGAAATATATATTTAATGGTGGCTAATGAACTAATAAAACAACCACATTTAATGATCAATACTTGGTAATAAAAAAATTATAATTTTATATGAATTTGATTAATATTTTTTTTTAAATTTTAATTAAAAAAATACTATATAAAAACATGAGGGACAGAGAGAGAGACAGAGAGGTGAACTTGTTTGTGCGTGGATGCATTAATTGTAAAAGCAAGCAAAGCAGGCGAGAGGGAGGGACGTTGGCCGGCAGTAACTGATGTGTTAAGGGTGTGGTGGGCTCAGAGCCTAAATGATGATTTTTCCTTTTAGATAATTTTGTTGTTAAGGAAAATAACACTCGCATTTGTTAAAGCGCGTTGGTTACTGATGCATTAATTGATGTCAAATGTTGATAGCAAAAATGGAGGTTTCTATGAAAGGCAGGATGGAGTTGAGAGTTAAAGACATCTAAGATTTGCTTTTAAATTTGCATTTCAAATGATCTTGATGAAAATAATAATAATAATAATAATAATTTTTATATATTTTTACATCATTTTAATATATTGATAGAAAAAATAATTTAAAAAATAAAAAAATATTATTTTAATACATTTTAAAATAAATACTATTTCAAAAAGTAAATCCTACTATACTCTTAAATAACTTTTAAAAATTGATTTTTTTGAGGGAATTTTAATGATATTTTACTTATAATTTAAATTTTGTTGATTTTTATGGTGTTTCAACCGAAAATATTAAAGCTACTTTTTTATTTTATGATTTTTTAAATTATAATAATTTAATATATAATGTAACCAAAATTGTTAATGTCACGCTAACATTACTTGATATATAAATAATAAGCACGGCGAAAGAGAAATGACATAATAAGAGATTAGAAATATATATTTAATGTTGGCTAATGAACTAACAAAACAACAACATCTAATAATCAATACTTAGCAATTACAAAAACCTATAATTTTATATGAATTTTATTAATAACTATTATTAAGATTTTAATTAAAAAAATACTATAAATTATAATTTTTAAAAATTTATTACTTTAAAACACAATAAAAAATTATCTTGAAATCAAATAAACATTATTTTTGTGAATTATCTTTAGAAATTGACAATCAAAACTTGATTGATGGTCATGTGATGGCCCATGGGTCCCTTGTTGGGAGCGCGTGTTTTACACTTGAAATGGAGAGCGTGAAAGGGAACGAATTCAAGGTTCAGAAGGGTGGGGATTTACTGTTAAAGGGGCAGGCCGAAAAGGGACACCTAGCCTGGGTCACGTGACGTGGCAGTACAAGGGGTAAAGGGTATTGAATGATGGGCCCCGAAAAAGGTTTTCGCAAGTGGTAGAATTCAGGCCCACAAACACTTACCCTCCGTGTTAGCCCTGCTGTCCTCCCTTCTCCTTTTCTTTTTTAAATAAATACCAAGTTTCCCTTTTTTCTTTTCTTTTATTTTCTTTTCTTTTCACAGAATACCTTAATTCTTGAAGATAGAATGGAGGGAAAAGTTGATGGGCCTTAGATGGGCCTTCTTGAATATAATATTTATTACAATCTCAGCAACATTCCTAACCTATCTATATGCCAGTAAATAATTTTTTGCCATGCACAAGTGTGCTTACATGCTTTATACTCTTGCAACGACACAATATATCTTCTTTAATTTTATAATTTTGAGCTCTGGAGTTCAGTGGTGATGAAGGAGGAAAAGAGACATTCTAGAATACATATGCAGCCTGTGTGGGCTAGCAGCTGTGTTATAATTACTGGCATGGAGCGTTGTTGGTTTTGGAACTGAATGCATATATAAATTAGATATATATTCAATGTTATGTATATTACATGCATATTTATGTATTTATTTATTCAAATACTAAATTATTGTTAGGTAATGTGATAATAACATAAAATAATCATTATGAAAGTACAAAAAATATTTTAATGCTAGTTTTAATTTTTATTATTATTTTTAAGTTATTTTGATGTTTTACTGTATTTTTTATTTTTTATATTTATTTAAATATTAATTTTTTCATTATCTAACGGGATAATAATAATAATAAAATCATTGTAAAAATATATATAAAAAATATTTTAATATATTTTTAAATAAATAACAATATTTATTAAAATATTAAACGCCACCCACCTGGCTTGTCAATGGGTCCTCATTCTTTATTTCTAGAAAAAAAAAATTGATTCAGCCATCTCCAGCTCCAATCAGACAATGTCTTGGAAGCGTATTGACCTGAAAATAAAGTTGATGACAATTAATGAACAAACCAAATTTAGCTGAGGAATATAAATGCAAAAAAAAAAATTATTTCGTTTTCTTTTCTTTTTAGTAATCCTAAGGATTTATTGTGGTTACTTAAATAGCGCTGGGTTATTATCTAAAAAAAAAAAAAACAGAGACAGTTATTCCAAAAAAACACGTTGCCTTGACCTATCTATTTGAAAAGAGCGTAGGAGCATGAATTCATTATAAATTCATCTTATTCATATAATCAAAACATATTTTTATTTTTTTATATTTATTTTTTATCTAAAATAATAGTCAAATACAATCCTAAACTAGTCTTGAAGTCGTAAAAAAAAGAAATATATTTTATTATAATTATAATTTTAAATTTAAATTATATTCCATATTTTAAAAGCTTCAATTTTAATAATGAAGTATGTAAATAACTGGTTAGTTTTTAGTTTACTTTTATAAAGATTATCAATTCGAATTTAACGAAACTCTAAACTACTAAATATTTTTATAGTTATTAATTTTAAAATTTATAAAATTAATTCAAATATACTTAAATTAATCCAAATATATATATAAAAAAAATAGTCTCTAAAAAGATGTTAAAGAAAATCTTTGGATTTTATAAACATTCCTTTAGAATTTTCAAAAGACCATAGATTCATTATTTCCATTCCCACACACTGAATTTTCAAAGACATCTAGAATCTTTTTCATAGTTTATTTATTTATTTATTTATTTCACTATTTGATGCTTTTGTTTATTCTTTTGGTGTTGGCGATCGATCAAAAGATATACTATCTTTTCCACGACCTTTTGGGATGGTTTCTCTAATGCTCTTTGCCTTTACAACGTAGTCAAGAACGTAGGCCCTCCTTTTCCCTTTGTACATGCATTTCTTCACTTCAATTTCTTGTGTCACAAATCATTATTTAGTGCCTTCATGATTATCGTTTTCCTTTTACAACAACCCACCATTCATGTCCTCTCCACGCTCCTTTCTTCTGTGTCTCGCTCTTTAATCACATTCTGTTCCTTCTTATTATGCAAATCTTGCTGATTTTCATAAGTTATTAGTTAAATTATTATTATTCTTACTGTTACTATCATCATTAATTATAAATTACAAGACAAGACGCACTCACGAATCTAGAAAGGGAATTTTTTTTTTTATCGTGTTCTAACTTTAATGATTTGGATTGAAATGGGATTGTATGAAAAGGGTCCTAATGAAATTTTATAAAAACTTTTAAAAGAATTTACTTAAAATTTTTATTTTTATATTTTTAAATTATTTTAATATATCTTCAAAATTCTAAACATAATAATTATCACAGTACT